CATATCAAGTTTACACCCAAAGAAATGAACAACAACAAAATTATTCTCACTATCAATAATGTCTTTGCTCAAAATGATGATTTTTGAGGAGTTTCACTTCGTCACGTAAATTTGACGTGTTCTGTAATTGTCTATTTTGCGATATCAAACGCAGCTACTGCAACCTTACACATGACTATTCCTGATCTCAAGATCGACACTTTCTGTGATTTCTTCCAATACAAAGCTGATATGCAATTTAACGAAAGAACTATTCATGTCACCGATATTCCTCTACAAATGAAACCTGCCAATATCAAACAAGTTTTCGCTAAATATGAAACTGTTACCAACTTTAAAATGACAGTAAAAAGTATATGGCAACATGCCTACATTACTTATGAAAACCCTAAATGTATTGAATTATTTTATCAAGTGTGGAGTCATTTTCTCCAGAATGATTCTGTTCGTGTCAATCCTTGCACTTTGTCTCCAAAAGAAATTAAATATAGGAATACCCACCGTATCATATTGACGAATCTTCCTTTTGGTACCTTTGCAAGAGATCTTCATGACATAATTCTTGCTACTAAAGCTAAAGCTAGCTATATTCCTAGATCCAACAATTATAAGCCTTGTCCTTTTGTTATTTTACATTTTGAAAATGAGAAAGCTCTCAATTATGCAACTCAACAAAACTTTGCTTTTGGTAACAATCAACTGATGTGGTGTTCTCCTGATTCTAGAAGCTGTCACAAATGTGACGATCCAGCTCATCTGGTTATGAAATGCCTCTTTTTACAAAAATCAGTTACACCCAATGACAATGAAGAATCTATTAAACTAAAGACACCCACTCAAAACAATTCAATGCAAAGACTTTACAATAAATATAAACCTGCTGGCTTTAGAAAATTTGTTGATTCCAATCGATCCAACCGTTCTTCCAAATCCTATTCTGAGGCCACCAAAAATAAGAATACTCCTCCACCTTCACCACTAAAAGAAGTTATCACTCTAACTGTGAAGGATTCTATTCACAATCCGAATAATGAAATCAATAATAAATTGGATCAGATTCTCTCAATTCTCTTTAATATGAAAAAGAATATGACTGAATTGGACGTTAGAATCGCAAAACTGGAATCTCTTCAGGCTTCCTCTACAATTACGTCTACAGTAATTCCTACACCTATTATTAGTAAAGGAAAAGATCCATTAATTGTTTCTCACATTTCTCAAACTTCACCTAAAACACAAGATACATCTAATAAAAGATTTTGCATTGCTGGATCCTCAAGTGATGACTCTTCACCCTCACTAATTTTGACTCCAAAACCTGATCTTACTAACATGGTGAATAAACAAGCTGCTATTATTGCTAAAAAAAAAGACAGATGGACAGAATGTTCAAACAAATTGAACAATTCGCAATGAAAGCTAGCCTGTCTCAAAATTAGATA